ACTTTTCTCCACACCCTCTCCAGCATTTATTGTTTGCAGACTTTTTGATGATGAGGCTGCATACTTCTGAGTAAAAACAATCTGAAAATATCCCAACACATATATATTAATAAATGATATACATTTACTACTGTATTAATACACTATGAAGTATGAATAAAACATTCATAAAATAGGAATTAGGAATAAAATAATTATTAAACATTTTAATGTACTTTTTACTTTTTCATTGGAAGCATACCATTAACTCTCTATGATTTGACTCCATATTTCACATAGTCTTGAAAATTTTGGATACTTTTATGATTCCTTGACATATCTGATGAGATCATCATTGATTTTACTTCATGATTTGCAGTTCAAAGGGTTTACACTTGGTGAAGTTATGTCAGCTCTGCTACCTTTTTTGTATTTCATTTGTGTTTGTAGTAGTGCTATAATCTTCAAAATCAGCTTTAAGGAAATAATTTAATGGTCAATTTACTTTAGATATACATAAAAGTTGGAATACTGTATTTCTGTCATGAACAAGTAGGGTTTAAGGACCCTACTTTAAAGACCAATGTCCTATAATTTTATTTACCATCTGCAGTTAGAGACTATATTATGAGATTTTAAAGATTTTATCCTTCAGGAGACTTTTTTAAAATATGGGAATTCCCAGGTCCTCACTACCATAGATTTGATTCAATAGGTCCTGAGTGGACCCCATGATGTGCATTTTTAAAATACTCATGAAGCGATTCTGAAATACACTTGAAATAGAGAAGTAGAATATATGGATTCTAGAACTGTCTATGCACTTACTTTGGAAATTCTCCTCTATACTTCTTAATTATGATTAATTGTATAACTGTAAGTAGAATAGGGTCCACGTTCACATCTCAAGGGGTATACAGGTTAGAAGGCCACATCCTCTGTAGATCCAGGCTTTCGTGGTGAGAAGCCCTAGGGGAAAGAGGATGTAGTAGTAGCTGCCAGAGGAAAAGAAGGTAGCTTGCTCTATAGAGCCCAGAGAGAAAAAGAAAAGGAGCCCTTTGGGGCATGAAGAGGTTTCTACTACTGAATAGCAGAATGCGTTATGAGGGCTTCTTGGCCAATGACCTCAATGAATTAGAGCTCAGAATGGACACTGGTCATATTCTATTCATGTTTGTATTTCAAGTAGTTTATCCATACCTAGTACACGTTAGTTCATGAATACAGGATGAAGGATATTCTTATTTGCTCAGCAATATATTACCAATTCTATAGTTATTCTCTATCATATAATAATTATATGCAAGTTCAGTTAATTTCATAGATCCAATATATCTAGTAAAAGTAATTAGATAATTAGATGAAAATATCTATTTTAAAATAAGATTCCTAATAGAAGTATACAGTGTCATAATACATGCATCCACACATAGGTATGCACTTGCAGGAAAGCTATTCCAGATGGTAGAAGTCTTTCAATGATGTGAGTAGGAAAAGAATATATCCTTATCATTGGAGAGATAGTAATACTGGTGGGATATTTGCATAATTCTGTAATTAGGCATGCAAAGTATTTCCTATTATACCTAGCATGTGGTTTAACCGCCTCAAAGGAAATTTGTGAAAGAAAATTATTGAAAATACTTTGAATTATATATTATTAATACAGAAATAAAAAACACACTTAAAGTCTCCCACAACTGGCTCAGGATTTTTTCATCAATATTATCTCAATTTTGTCAATAGGAAATTTCAAGTCATCAAGGCTTAAATATGTTATCTGCTATGTCATTAGCAAATTATCAGTAATCTCCCTCTCAAATATATTTGTTTCTAAATTTAAAGATAAAAACAGTACTTATAAAAAATTATTTAATGTCATCTTATTCTTTCAGGTGCTATATTCTTTACATTAACAACTAGCAATATACCCTAGATGTTCTGAGTCAGATCTGGACACCATGTGTCGTGGCCATGTACCTAAACAATTCACTCCTTTAGTGACACTTTGGTTTCTTGGCTATATCAACAAGTCAGCTTAGAAACATTTCAATAAAAATTACATGTGGGTGGCAGAGTTTCAGGGTCAATTTTTTTTTATCTCTGGTCAAAGTTCTATTCATAAATTTACATTCAATTTATCATTACGTTATTTCTGGCCACACGTCTCCCAAAGAGAAACAAACAAAAAAAATGTTTATTGGCACCTAGTCTTTCCTCATTTTGATTCACGCTTGTTGAATGGCTCAAGTCAGTCATATATTATCGGAAGAAAAAAAATGGTTTCTGATTGAAAAAGCCTGAGATTTTATCTCAGTTCTGCACACTGGTTACTGTGTAACTTGGAGCAACTCATTTAACCTCTCTGGGTTTTAGCTTTCTTGTATGTGAAATTAAGATAACAATAATACCTGCCTTATCTGCATTTTCTTATACTTAGAAGGAATTAAAAAGATAGTAGAGATATATATGGGCTTTGTAACATTTAAAGGAGACTACAAATTTAAAATTAATGTTTTACTCTTGCCTGATAAAGAGACAGTGCTGTTTGAAAGACAGCTATTGAGACGGTGTTGACACAGAATGAAAGGAGCTCTTTCCTTCTTTGATCCAAGTAGAGCGATCACTTAAACTCAGGGTACAATCAGTTGGTTCAGGTCAGAGGGGCCAAGACCCGATTATGGAGAATCATGTTGCACAAACTGTAGGACAAAGATTTCAACAGAAAACTGGGTCAGAGTGGTGAATAAGTCAGAGCAGCAAACTACACTTCTTTTTTTAAATAAAGGTCAGGGTCAGGCAGAAAAGTGATGGGAGAGTCCAGAGGGCCTTTGGCCTCAGATCTTTTCAGGAAGACCTACACTTCAATATCATGACCCCAGCAGGGAAATAGTCAAAACTAGCATGGATCTCATTTAACCATCATTTAGAAGAAACGATGAGTCCTTGTCTAAACTGTCCATTAATTAACCAGGCAGTTTCATCTTGGACAAAAGATGCCCATGTTAGGAAGAGAAGAAAATATTAGTAAAAAGCAACTCAATAAAGAATATGAATAAAATGCAAATTAAATGAAAAAGGAGGTAAAATAGAAATGCAGATAACACTCTGTTGCTTGAAGTAGAAACTGCATCATTTTAATAGTTAAGACTCCAACGTACCCTCACATTACAGCTGAGAAGAGCAAGCCTTGAGAGGAATAGATCATATGCTAAAGTCCACATACCTACCAGGATTTGAAAACTTTTATCTGTTGTCAGACCTTGTGGTCTTGAATTCTACATCATACTATCCAAGCTGGTTGTCAAGATGCTCTCATTTGGTGATCACCAATGATAGTTTATGATGTTTGGTGTTCTCAAAATATAAGTAAATATAAAACAGATAGTGCTCACTTCGGCAGCACATATACTAAAATTGGAACGATACAGAGGAGATTAGCATGGCCCCTGCGCAAGGATGACACGCAAATTCGTGAAACGTTCCATAATTTTTTCTCTGATAATTAGTGACAAAAAAAAAACAGAAAAAACAGATAGCTAAGTGTGTAACAGCTCAATTCCTCATATTATATCACATGAAACGTATACACAACACATACAAATCTCTCATGTAAAATGTCAAATAATGCTGTAGGTATCTTCGGAAAAAGCAGGAGGGAAAATCTATATTAAAATAAACTTAGAAATCAGTGTTATGAATAACACAAAAAAAGTAAAGAAATTATAACGCTGACTTAAATGTCAAATTCCCTTTTTACAAAAACCATATTCTATAATTATAAAGTTTCAACCTGGATTTTTTTTTATGCCTCTCAAATTCATCGCATGTAGGTTAATAGCCATCAAGCAAGTCTTTCCTGAAGGCATGAAACAGAGGCAAACAAATATAATCATTGCAGATAATAAAACTCCTAAGGTTGCAGTGAGGTTTGGAAATCCCCAATCAAATTTAGCTGTATATTCTCAAGATGTGTACATTTCTAGTCCAATTATCCTAATGTGTGTTCTCATTTATAGACTACACACCCTTAAAACTAAAAAAAACTGAACGTCTTTATCTCTCAAATTTATTTTGCTACCACTTTCACCCACTGAGAAGCTAAACATTTTCTTGTGTTTATCCTTTCTACAGTGAGTTGACCTTTCATTGAAACTAAGCTCTTTTCTAAGTAGCTAGAGATAAAATTGGAATTTTGTATTTAAATTTCAAATTACTTTAATGGAGAAAAATTACCTAAGGTGGGTGTTTGGAGATAGGTAGAAATTAACCATTCCAACGCAATGCCTGTATTAATAAATAGTCTCTCCTCGCCCCCCTTTCTCCTTCGCTACACACACACAAACACACACACACGCACACGCACACACACACACACAGGCCGACTAATAACTAAAGTTAAATTGACCTGTCATTTCCCTTTTTTTCTTTTCCACTGACTTTTTTTGAAAGATAAATTCAGTTGATTCACTTTTCTGTGTATGGAGCAACTGAGCTGTTGTAAAGACATGGGTAGAATTAATTGATGCTTTCAAGGCTGAATTTGAGAAAATGTTTATTTTCCCACCCTTGACCAGTCATGACATAAGTAGCCCTCCTCTCTGCTTCACGGGAGGGAAGGACTTACCCTGAACTGCATTTTGGTCTCCAGAGGAGCTCCTGCACTGGGAGAACACCATCGGTGAGGAATGTGACCCTAGCCTAGGGGCTGGGAGCTAACTATAAATTTGTACTTCTGCTGCCTCTGCCATGCTGTTCAGGGAAAATTTCCTAATACTACAGTGATAAGTGAGAAAAGGGCTGGTGCAAATGTCATAGTCTCTTAAAAATTATTTATGGGTCAACAGATTTTGGCCTAACTTCTTGATAGCACTTGATAGGGGAAGCTATGCCTTTTACTTCAGAAGCACACTAATGGCCTGGCTTTTCATTTCCATAAAAACCACACAAATTGGACTGTTTAGAAATTACTGAATATTAGAGCGTAAAGGGATAACTTTACCTTTATTTTTACTTTATAGGTGAAGGAACTGAAGTCCAGAAAATTTAAGTAACTTGTCTAAATACCTGCAGTCATCCAGAGGTAGGGGAAACCCTGGAATCCTGGTAGGTGATTGGTGCCGTGTTCTTTACTCTACAGCACAATTCTTCTTCTCAGAGAAATGCTAGGTCACTTTGTAACTTAGAGTACATGGCTTCACGTTTTAGTGGAAACATGGAGTGGGAATGTTATAGCTGAAAGAATCAATAAGTATACAGTTCATCTAGTGGAATTTCTTCATTTGCAGTTAAGAAAACTGAGGCACAGAAAACTTGCATAAAGCAGCAGCAAATTTGCCTAAAGTGATGGATGTAGAAGGAGAATATGCACATTTTAACTAATCCCCTATTAGCTGTATCATTGTTTAGTAGATTATTTTGTTCACACGTTAGCAAAAACTCAGTCATACCTATGCTCATCCCTTCTCCTCTTTGTTCCAGTACTCTACCTTTTTCCCTGCCTCAAGTCATTATTTGAGTATTATGGAGAACAGTATTTGTTAGTGTAAGGATGATTTCTTAAATAACCCCCAAATTCCCATGTCTTAACACAATTAATTATGGCTCACATATCAGTCAGCTGGATACAGTTGTTCCCAGTCAGTGGGCAATTTCATTCTCTGTGGATATTTGGGGAATCAGGCTTCTTCTCTCTTGTGGCTCCTTCATCCCCTAAAGTCTGGAATCCTGTGCATCCAGCTGGTAGAAAAGACAGGGAAAGTGGAGATGACACACCTCTTTTCAATGCTTTGGTCCATAATAAGCACACATCAATTCTTTTGTGTTTCATTAGGACAAACTAACATACATCCCCTTCCATGTGCAAGGAGGACGGGACTGAAATTTTCAGTGATAACTCTGCATGTTTAATGGAAGGACACAGATTTCTATAGACAGCTATCCATTTCTAGCGAAATAGTACATAAGTAAAGTGCTTCAATATTCTTGAGTTTTAGCTTTGCCTACTAATGAGTCATTCCAAATATCACTTCCTAAAGGACACATAGTAGACTTTGGGCTCATATTCAGGCTTTGGACCTTATAATGTAAATTTTCTAAAACAGTTCTGCTTGCTATGGTTTTTGTTTCAGTATAACAGGAACATGTATGAAATGAAATTCATTATTTTATGTTAAAACTAATCAATCTCTACCTCTAACTAGCAATTCACATGATGGGCCTCTCATTATACCACAGACAACTGTTATATTTGACCAGTTTCCATACAGACTCAGTCATGTCTTACTAAATACACAAATTCACATTTTCACTAGAGCATAATAAAAAGGACCCCTCCAACTAATAAATGTAGAACATGAGTTTTTATATTTCCTCAACCTGAAGAGCAAATGACCTTTATGCAAGGCATCTGTCTCCTTTTTAAACATCATAGAAATGATGAAATTGGGCTGATTTTGTTTATTGCCACTTTCATATGTAATGCTGCACCAGGGGTAGGTTGGTCATCATCAGTAGCAGAAGCAGAAATACCTGCATTTGTGTCTGAATCTGCATAAGCCAAACTACTGTCGGTAATAGAGAAGGGAAGTTGAAAAAGCCTCTTGTAACCTCTGCAGATGGGGGTGGGGTAGGTCGTAAAAGCTTGCAGTAGTTGAACTGTAGCATCACAGATAGTGGAGCAATCTCATCCTAACATTGCTGTAGGGGTAAGGGTAACACTTCACAAGTAGACCTCATGGCTCTGTGCTAGACAGCTGCACAGCATCCTACCAGAAAATTTTGTGAGTGTAGTCCATGATATGAAGAAGTGTTTGCAAAACTGACCTTATCATAATCCAAAAGTAGTAATTCAGGAGAATGTTTATTTCCGTAAAAATCCAAAGAGATACAGTATGCTTTAGAGAAAATAACTCTTTAAATCTCGGCTGATGTTTATTGACTGTTTTCCAAATTTAGAGCAAAAGAAGAATGTAAACAGTACTAATATTGCCTTCCTCTGTTTAGGCAGCTTAGTACTCTGGATCAACATAAAGAGGATATAGCTTCTTCTCATGAAGTCACACTCCTTGGTTTGTAAGCTACTGCAGCATCCTTAACTCCTCTTAAGAATATGTTACTGTTTATAACACAAACACCTACACCAGTTTATAGAAATGAAATGGTACAGTAGCTACTAGTCTTGAAATTCTCTGTGCTTACAAGGAACATTAAAGTAAAAGACTATTTTCCTGTAGTTTGTAATCACCTTCCTACTTAGTAATCATTACATTAAATTTTCAAATTAATCTACTTGATCACACAAAGCAAATTTAGAAATAAATGTAGTTAGTCTAATTCACTGTGTTTCATATTGAACTAGCTAGGTAGAATAACATTTTTCTAGCAATCAGAATTTTTTATGCTAGAAATCAGGACATAATTTTATTTCCTTGGTTTTAATACAATGGCTAAAGAGAGATACTGATTTTCTAAACCATCCACTGTGTACCTACAGGTCAAGCTAATACACTCCACAGTTTCTGGAGCAGAGAATTTTCATATGTACTCAGAGATAAAGTTTCTCCCTTTATTAACTGAATTTTCTTATTTTTAAAGGTCAAATTCAAAGATTTGCTTTGTGCAAAGTTTAATTTTAATGTTTTCCAAGGCTTAAATCACTCAGGTTATAACTTGAGGTATTCCAGGATGTTTTTTCAGGTGCCTTTTGGATAATTATTAATAAGAAGAGATGGGACATATGTACTCAGCTAGCAAGGATATTAAGGTATTGATATACTATCTTTATTTCAAGGGAAGAAATGAAATTATCCCTTTGAGCCTGGAACAAGATAGAGTTAATAAATATTTGTTGAAGGAATGGAGAAAAAAATGGACAGAAGAATAATTTTGGGGAAAACAATAAAAATAAAACCAGTTTGAAACTCCAGTACATAATGGTATTTTAATCTATAACCAATCAGGCCTTTCTCTATGTGCAAATGCACATAAATATATTAATTTTTTATATAAAAATGAATACTGCTATATACTAGGTTTTCACTCAAAAACATATAAAACAATTATTTCCTAATATCTACTTCAAATTGTTTTAAAAACTATATGATATTCCACTTTATGACTGTAAAATAATTATTCTTCCAATTCTGTATTGTAGGACATCAGGTGGTTTCCATTTTTAAATTCATATATAGCATAGTTACCTTTATTACTATAGTTAAAAATTGTATGTGTTCTGATTTTTTAAGGAAATTTTCCTTAAGGTAAATTCTTGAAATTGATGATTCAGAAGACATCTTGTAGCTCTCAAAGGCTTTTTCAATTTTTTTTTTCAATTATTTCTTAATTGAAGAAGAACATTATGATGTGGCCCTCTGTTATAGTTTTTTATATGTGGAAATAGCCATGTTCAAGTGACCCAAAAAGAGGAACGACGTCACTAATATATGGAATTAATCCCCCATCAGGTTACTCCATCATTAATACCCACTTTACTAATGGAGACACTATAGTTTCCCACTTTGTTAATTTCTGATTTGTTTGAATATTTAGTATTAATTAAAAAAATAAAGGCTTCCCTGGTGGCACAGTGGTTAAGAATCCTCCTGCCTATGCAGGGGACACAGGTTTGAGCCCTGGTTCGGGAAGATCCCACATGCCTCAGAGCAACTAAGTCCGTGCGCCACAACTACTGAGCCTGTGCTCTAGATGCTGTGAGCCACAACTACTGAAGCCCGCGTGCCTTGAGCCCGTGCCCTGCAACAAGAGAAGCCATAGCAATGAGAAGCACGAGCACTGCAAAGAAGAGTAACCCTTGCTCGCTGCAACTAGAGAAAGCCCGCGCACAGCAACGAAGACTCAACGCAGCCAAAAATTTTAAAAAGTAAATAAATTTAAAAAAAAAACAGTAACAAGAAAATGATTTTCTAATTAGCAAATCATAGATTTTCATGCAAATGCCCTAATACTACTTCACTGTAAAGGAGGTTTTATAATATTAAATATTCTATATATAATGATATTAACCACTATATATAATGATATTAAACATCATATATAAAGATATTAAATATCATATATAATGATATTAAATATTATATATAACAATATTAAATAGTATATATATTTTTTGAGTTAGAATTTAAGGGAAGTGAGGATTTCCTGGTGTTGAATTATTTAAGGATCCTCTGACTGTCTTTTACCCTGCAATGCTAATAAATATTGACTGGAATAAAGCCAGCAAAACTGGTATTTCCTAAACACCAAGATGCCTATCCTCTATGGCAATATTTTTAAACCCATGCTTCATTTTGATAAATATGAAATCTTACTTCCTTTCTCCCTCACCACAAGATCCTATCCTTATCCACAAACGTTTTGTCCAGCTTCATTTTGAGTAGTTCATATCGTGAAACAATACATTTGTTCCCTATTCCAAATAACAAAATTATATATTGGCTATGCATTTCAAACCACAGAATCTGTAGTGTTTCCTTTTTGAGAATCACTGCTCTTGATTTTCCAGTGGAAAAAGAGCAAGCTGTGTTCTTATGATTTGTGACTCTTCCTCTTTCCTTTTCTCCTTTCCCTTCCCCTTCCTCTTTCTCTTCCTGAATGGTTCATTCCTATAGCCTTTGGGGAAGGGTGGGGCGGGAGTGTAGTACAGTGAACAAGGTATGAGCTCACCTGGAGGTGCAGCCTGGTGAGGGATGTTGAGAGCCAAAGCAGAATGAGGCAGTCAACCTGCGAAGGGGTAGGACATGCCCTGTGTAGGGATGGCTTGCTGTGGGGTTTCAGAGCCCAAGTAGGCTGAGATGTTTATACATGGGGTGAATTAGTATGGGATATTAAAACCTGAATAAGGTGAAGATAGGATTTATCCTAGCGCAAGAGTTGGTAAACAAGGTGTCAACATAGGGGCTGGGTAGCTATGGTAATGAGAGGTTGGTTAGTATGCAGGATGAGTCGAATATGTTAATCAGTTAAGAATAATGAGACTTCAGTTTCCCACTGTCAGAGAAGGAAGTTACAAATACGGAAAGAGAGAAAACTAGAATAAACCCTGTGATGTGATTGTTAGTGGGGAGTGAACTCATGGACCTCAGTAAGTATGGATTTAGAAATGATTTCAAATGTAAATATATAATATGTGTA